GTGAACTTCTCCCATCTATCCGGCAACGTTGCCAGAGGCGGGGACAGAGGTGAGCGGAGGTGACGGCGTTGGGCAGAGAAAAGAACCGAGTCAGAGTTGAGCAAGTTGATGAGAAGAAGTGAAGATGCAAAGGCTAATGAGAAGGTCATCAGCATATTTGCTGCGCAGGAGAAGAGCTGGTTGAGTGAAAGGAAGAAAATCCGTTAACAGATTGGAACTCTTCTAATTGAATTGCAGGTTCTCAAGAAAAAGAAAGAAGTTAAGTCAAGTCTAAGTGAAAAAGGTATGGGAGAAAGAACATTTGATACAATCTTGAGACAAGGCACTACAGGAAGAGGAAGGGATGAGGAAGGAGCTAGAAGAAAAGCTACGGAAGGTCGAAGCCATCATGGAGGAATTAAGGGAAACTGTGAAAAGACAAAATCATGAGCATTCTTCTGAGCTCTGAAAAACAAGACTACCTTCATTGAGATTGTCTCAAACCAGTGGCAACTTGAAGCGAAGATGGGTCGTGCTCTGCAACAAGTGGAGGTTGCAAAGCAAGAACTTGACTTCGTCTTCAAGGAGAAAGAGGAGTCAATCTCAATGGTCTAGAAGCTTTCTTTGGAGATTATAAAGTTGCGCAGGGATTTGGAATAGAAGGATAAAATCTTGTCCACCTTGCTGAGGAAATCCAAATTGGATACAACTAAAAAACAAATGCTACTGAAGGAGATTAAAACAAATCCAAAATGGGTACAAGGAAGTTTTGGCAACGTTGCCGGAGGCGGGGGTGGGCAAAGGCATTGTTGGAGATGGGCGGAGGCGGCAACACTAATGAATGAATTGCAAGAGGAAGAAGATGAACAATGTTTTTGCCCTTAATTGATATTATTTTTAAAAAATTAACCGATTTTTGAAATTTTATTAAAAATGTTACTTTTATTGATATTAAAGCCCAAAAGTTGCCCCTTATCTGCTATAATCCCTATTTTATTTTGGAATGCCATGGGTTTGAGAAACAAGCCCACAATTTGTGGACTTAGAAAGTTGAAAAACTCTCATGATGTTGGTATCATAGCCATAATTGAACTTAAGATTCCAGTGATTCAAATGCATTTTATCGTTAGAAGACTCAACTTTAGTGGAATGACTATCAACCGTTTTGAGGATTCTCATATTGCCATTTTATGGCACTCAACTGTGCCTACTGACTACTAAATGTTCTGTCAATTGCTTTGTGGAGATTGCAGATGATGAGCCTTTTAGAAAGAAGACAACTTTGGCATTTACTCTCAGAGGCCTTACTTGGTATTGATTTGCCATGTCTTCTTCTGGGGGACTTTAATGCTATTCTTAATGAAGATGAAAAGATATGGGGTAAGACTTTAATGCTATTCTTAATGAGGAAGAAAAGATATGGGGTAGCCGTCCAAATTTACAGTCCATGAGGGAGTTTCAAGATTTTGTTCTCTCTGTGGGTTTGCATGATTTGGGCTTCTCTAGAAATACTTTTACTTGGTGCAATGGTAGACGAGGTAATACTTGTGTATGGGCTAAACTTGATAGGGGTTTGGTTAATAGTCATTGGCTATCTTCATTTAATTCCAATATGGTTACACATCTGAAGAACTTATATTCAGATCATTCTCCTATTTTATTCAAAATGCCAAATGATAACAAAAACCACCCAACTATGTTCCGCTTTCAAGAGATGTGGTTAAACCATGAGGATGATTTTCTTAATACCGTTGGAAGTATTTCAAAACATTAAAACAATAGAAGGCGGGGTGCTCAGAAAGGAAGTTGAACACGCCCAACTAAACTAGATCTCCTAAAAGCCATAATGCCCTCTTCAACGCTGGACAAAATCTTCACCATTGGCTTCTTTAGGAGGAAATCTATTGGAAGCAAAAATCCCATGTTATGTGGCTTGCCGAGGGAGACAAAAACACCCATGGGATAGGTAGTAGGCTATGTTATGGGCTTGAAACTTGAAGCTTGCAAGTTCATTATAATTTCTTTGAAACAAAAACAAAAAGTTTTGATATCTATAAAAAAAATTTGCCTAATTGTTGTTTTCAATTTTTTTGACGGATAATCAAGTATTTTATTATTATTAATAATAAAAGTAAGTAGACAAATTCATACAAAACTGATATCCATAAGGAGGCGTGAGTTGCTGCCTCAAAAAACAAAGTAAAATTACAAATGAACCCAGAATAATTGATCCCTGTTCACCTCTTGCTTAGCTAGTAGGTTAGCCATCTCGTTTGCTGACCTCCTCTCCTACTGAACTCTAACTGTGAGATTAGAGGTAAGCCATTTGAATGTTTTCATTTCTCTCCTAAAAGACCATGCTACTGTCTATGTTTCTTTCAGCCACCCAATTACCACTCTAGAGTCACCTTCAATGACCAACCTCCTAAAGTTCAGTTCTTTAGCAATCTGTGCTCCATGTAGAGCAGCTTGCACCTCTGCACTAACTATATTTGGCACATCAATTGGGCACAAGAATAAGGCCACAATCTGTCCCTCTTCATTCATAAAGACACTCCCAATGCCAAAGGGTCCAAGATTGCCAATGCTACTGCCATCAAAATTGAACTTTATGAAACCTTCTTCTAGTGGCTACCAATCTACAACAGGTTTATCCTTAATGAAGAAGAATTTGCATTAGATACCTAGTTTCTCTGTATGTCATCAAAGGAGTAAAGTGAGAATGAATCTAATGATTTGGCCCAGCTTATAGCCCTCAGTAGTAGACATTCCCAAACAGTATCTACATCCCTTTCTTTATCATTAAAAAGTATGTTATTTCTTTCCTCCCAAACTTTCCATACTAGGGCAGCCCTAACACATCTCCATAGGATTCTACCTCTTCTCTTAGCCACCTAAAAGTCGTAGGGCCGAAAAGCCCCCCAGTTTGTGGAGGCATCTCCCACCTACCCCCAAAAGGTCAATTCTTTTCCCAAAGATTTACAATAAATGGATAAGAAATTAAAAGATGGTAGCAACTCTCTCCATTTTTTTTGCAAAGGAAACACTAACTTGGGGATATGTAGAGGTTAGGTCTTTTCTTTGCAATGCATCCAATGTGTTTAATTTCCCAAGGGAGGCTTCCCAATAGAGGGCTCCAACTTTAGGAGGAATGGATTTAGTCCAAATTTCTTTCCAAAAAAGGGTTGAGGGTTAGTGACTCTACACAATTGAGAGAAAAAAGAGGCACAAGAAAAAAGACCTAGATGGTTGGGAGTCTAGATTCTAACATCAGGTTTAGAAGGGTCCAAGAAAGCATTCTCTAGGGTCTTGATCAACAAAGTAGCTTTATCAATTACAGAATCTCTTAAATCTCTTTTGAAATCCAAATTCCAGTTGAATCTAGAGGATTGGGAGAAAGAAACAAATCTTAGAATGGATTCACTTTTAAAAAGGGAGAGGGAAAACAAAGATGGATAGAGATCCTTAAGGGTGGAATTACCAGTCCAGGGTCTTGTTGTTTTCATGTTTAACCCCATTTTAATCTTAAATCAGAACCATGTCTTAAGTAACCAACATTATCATTGTCCTACAAATGCTTAGTTCATCATCTAAATGTCATACTTCTTTAATCAAGTTTCAATACATATATTGTATTTCTTTTTCTTATGAGAAAGCTTATTTTTAGCGGTAATAAATAAAAAATTTCCTTGATGTCTATGCAAGTCCCTAAATCTTCTCTCAGACTCTTGTATATAGATCTTTATTTGTTGTTTTTCTTTTTGCTCATAAGTAGGTAAATGTGCTTGTATTAACTTCCTATGAAGCTACATTGGCAAATCCAATGTTTCTTGAATATTTTCCCAATTTCCTAGATTTACCACATTTCTAAGTGAAACTTTCCTACATATGCATAAGATATTTTCTAATTAATCAAATGCTCAAACATTTCACCAACTTAAAGGACAGAGTGCAATGCAACTCTATTTGAACTTATATTTATTAGAATTGACATGGTTTTGTCTATCAAACGGTCAGGAAGTTGATTAAAAGAAATTGGTTGCTATCAAACATGATTTTGTTTATGAGAAACATGAATCAAATGGCTATGCCAAACAAGACTGGTGATTCTTAAGATGAAAATTCTCAGAATCCATTCTTTTCTGAAAGGATTTTGAGAATGAGAATCCTTGGAATTGATGCCAAATTAGTGATTTAAGAATGCACTCCTTTGGTGTGCCTAGGTGCATTTTGGGGTATGCACCTCGCCTAGGTCCTAGGTGCACGCCTAGTGTGCCTGTTGTGCCTTGTGCCTCAGCCCAGGTGTGCGTCTTTTTAAAATTTTGCGCTTTTTGCTTTTTTTTTTTGAGTCTAATGGTTGGAACGGGGGTAGAGCCCTTGGACCTCGACCACACCCCTCTAAGCAAGCCTAAACAAGTTATACTAGGGTCTGGAATTTTTATTTCTCAAATAAAAAATAATGATTTTATAACTTTCATCACCTTTTAAGAAGATATTTTATTGCAATGAATGAATGAACAACATTAGCAAATAGAGGGTTCTCAGAGGTCCGGTATTATTTTTTATGTGAGAAATAAGAATTTCAGACCTTAACATAGACTTATTTGGGCTTGCCTCAAGGGGCAATGGTACAAAGGCGACTCAGAGAATAAAAAATGCAATATATTTTACATCACATTAGCTACTTGAAGTAATGCAATTAAGGAAAAAAAAGAGATTGTGGGTTTTACATGCTTGAAAATGCTTTATATTTTTAAATCGCATTTGCTTTTATTTTTAAATTTTCATTTGAATACGCTTTACATATTATGTTTATGTATTTTAATTTTAGATAATAGGTTTTTTTAAATTTTTATTTTAAAATTAAAATTTATATTTTTTATTAACATTAATATTTTTTTGATTTTTTAAAATTTTCTGACTTTTTTTTTGATTTTTAGCTTTTTTTTTTAATTTTACGCCTTGCTTAAAAAAGGCGCGCCTCGCCTTGCGCGTTAAGCCTCAACGCAAATTTGCCCTTGCGCTTTTTTTTCGCCTTCCGCTTTTATAACAATGAAGGATGTTTATCATCCGCCATTGAAGGAAGCTTCAAAGGCTACAACGTACCGCTCCATGTTGCCATTGAAGTAAGCTTCACCATCGTTGACGACCTTTCTCCACTCCAAGTCTCCATTAGTTGCCCCTGCTTTTTTCCTCTACTTCCTTAGGTCTGCAACTTCTTCCCTCTGCTATTGAAGCAAGGTGCTGCGAGGTATCTCTTAACACCAGAGTGAGCTTTATGATTCATGCACTTCATTATTCCAATTTTCTTTGTATCATTGCAAAACTTGCAGACTCTGTTTCTGTTCTGCGGGATTTGATGTTTCTAATACTATCTTTATTTCATATAATTTGATTATTTCCCTTCAATTTTCTTCTTTTTTGGTTTCCTTTCTTCTTTCTGGTTCTAAAGGGTTAATTTTGGTTGAATTTTCTTTCTGCGCTGCTACTTCATTCCTTCTTTGTTTCATTCGCTCGAGGAGTTTATTCGGTTGTGGGGTGCTCTTTATTAGTCTATCAACCGAATAGTGAATATCTCGGTTTAGTGGGTCTATACTGCTAGATGACTTGAAAACCTTCACCCGGGTATCTGGGAGCGGTGTTACAGTTCAATGAGTCTACCAACTGAGTATTTGTTGTTCTTCGTGGGCTGAAGGAAGTCAAGGCTGTATTAGATGGGTTAAACGAGTGGACCTGGAGCTACTGAGATTGATTCTCTGCATTACAGAGTTAAGATTTTTAGTCTTGTTATATCCGACCTCATTGAGATGGGTTATTTGATAATGTAATGCTACAACTGCTTCATTGGCAAAACATGAGTTGATAGAAAGGAGTTGTGTGGTAGAATCTTCATGTCATTGTTAATATCTCTTTTGAGAGCAAGTTGTATTAAATCAAGGGGTTTTTATAGTTCAGTCCACCCCTAGGGTGGAGCTAAGATTTCTAGGGGTGGACTGAATCCTGCCCGTGGGTTGATGCCGAATTCACGGGCAGAATGCGGTTTAGGGGGGGAGGTCGCTACTAGTAGACTAGGAGGGGGCTACAATTTCAGATTTCTGAGGTGGATTGCAGTCCACTTATCCCTTAAATCAAAGACAAGATTTTGGTCTGGTTTTCTTTATTATCATATGTTTTCTATTTTTTTCATTCATCTCAATATTTGCATTCTTTTCCACTCATCTTTTGGATATTTTGTTGGGAGTTGGGACTACTCTCATCTTCCAGCTTTAATTTTTATTAAATCAGTTCCAAGGTGGATTTTCTTACATTATCTGAAAGTTTGTTTATCTGTGTTCAGTCAGTAGGCATACTACTCTGATTTTAATTTTTTTTTTTTGTTTTTTGCTTTTTTAAGTTGTATTCAGAATTTAACTCTTGTTTGATAACAGTTCTGCTTCATCATAATTATAGTTAGCAACCTGACATATTGTAGGTCCTATGTGATTGATAATTTTGCTTCTATGGAAAAGTTTAATTTGCATCTCTGATATAAATCCACTACAAGATATATGAATAATAATTTGGGTTGGTGATTCTCCTTTGAAAGACCAATTTCTGATCCTTTTTTCTATCTCTACCTTAAAAAATGAACCAGTTTCCACTTTCCTTGTACCCTCTAACTCGAACTCTGGGTTTGGATGGAATTTGGGTTTGAGAAGAGCTATCATGGACACAGAACTGGACAGTACTTTGACTCTTTTGACCATCCTTGATGGGGTTTTCTTGGAACCCACAAAGATAGTAGAATTTGGACCCCCTCTCCTTTAGGCTCTTTTACTTGTGCTTCCTTCTTTAAAGCCCTAACTCAACCGATTGTCCCTCTTGGCTTGTGATGCTTGTCATTCCTTGTTAAAGAAGTTTGGTGGGAAGCTTTCTTGGAAAGAGTCAGCACAGGAGATTTTCTTCAAGGAAAGAGACCCAATGGATGTTTATCTCCTCACTAGTGTGTTCCTTGTAAAGCTGATGGTGGACTCCCCCACTGAATGTGCAAAGCTTGTTTGCTTCCTCTTCCTTCAAACGACCAACAAAAAGGGGGAAGGATTATGTGGAGACGTGTTCAAGCTGCTGTTTGCTGGACTTTATGGGAAGAAAGAAATTCAAGGATTTTTTCAAATAAGGAGAGAAGTTTAGAAGTTGTGCTAGAAGTGATTCACATAAGGGTGATACATTGGCTGAAATAATTGGATTTGTTTACAGATTTTTTCAGTGGATGATTTGCTAAGAAATAGGAAAGAAATTGTTAGTTCAATCCCAGTTAAGAAGACCTTAAGTCCTTTTTGAAATCCTCTGCCTTAGGGCTTTATTAAGCTGAATTTTGATGGTAGTAGTATGAAAAATCCAGGGCCTTTTGGTATTGGTGGAGTGTTCAGAGATGAGAATGGGAATATATGTGGCTTGTATTCAGGTCCTATTGATCAAGGTGACTCAGTGAGAGCTGAATTCTTGGCTGCTATTGTTGGGTGCAAAAAGCTAAGGATATGGGAATTACTAGGCTGATTCTTGAAGGGGCTCCAAAATAGTTGTTGGCTAGTTGAAAAAAGAAGGGGGGTTCTATGGCAATTTGGAAATGATCTCAGAATATTCAAGATGATACCAAGAGATATGCAAACCCATATAAGATGGGTTAGGAGGTCTGCAAATGGGTTGGCGGATGGTTTGGCTGCGCAAGGAACTCATAGACAACTTTGTTTCGGGCTCAATGTTAAATGTGTTGAGGGTTCTTTGCCGTAAAGGGTCTTTGGCCTAACAACTTCTTGTTGTACCTTTTTGTTCCTTAATCTTAATAAAATTTTCTTGAGTTGCTGATAAAAAAAAATCCAGGACCGAGGTACTAGCAGCTTTGGAAGGGGTACAAAGAGCTAAAGACTTGAATATTAATAAGCTGGTTTTAAAGGAGATTCTGAGATTTAGTGGTTAAAGGAAGACAACTCTAGGCTCTACAACTACAACAATAAAAAGAGAAAGTTTAAGTAGTTGATTAATGACATTGAAGTTAAATGCACATGGGTAAAGGGAAGTGCAAATTCTTTTGCAGATGTGTTAGGTAGGCAATGGGTGAATTGGGATTCTGTTTTCTGGGCTTAGATGTAATTATTTTTCTTCTTTTTTGGGTGTCTGTCGACATCCTTGGGGAGTTAAGATAGTTTAGCTCCCCCCCCTTGTAAGTTAAATTTGTTTTGTTAATGAAATTTCCTATTATTGATAAAAAAAGAAGGGATGTAACCTTGTTTTCTTATAATTTGGAATTTTGGGTGTATGGGTTGATCCATTTGGTTATAGCATTTGAGATAGAGGAGAATTTAAAAACATGTTACGCTTGGGTTAGCGGGTCAATATGAGTGGGTCAAGGTCAGAGTGGGTTGTGACCCACTAACTTGCAGCCAATGTGGGTGGCAAATGGATCTGGGTCAGTAATGGGTTGGTTGGTACTCTACTCACACCCAGCCCAACCCATCCTACCCATTTGTCAATTGCCATTTCTGACTCAACCCATTTGACCTGTGTCACCCATCCAACCCATCCACTTGCAACCCATCTAAAATCCATTCGTTTTTCATATGTGTTGACAATGGTTGGTCCAATTATCCATTGTATCAAAATAAAACGGTTAAGGTGGGTTGGGTTGAAGGTGTACAGATCAAATTAAAATGACTGTCTTATATAGATCTGGTAATCCATTGGGTCACATAAAGAAGGTTAGGTTGGGTTGGGTTGAAGGTATACTAGTATGGTCACGGTTTAGGGTTCGACTCTTTGAATGCTACTCTGCAACTCTCTCAGCCTCCGCCTATTTGCAAAGGAGACAGGGAAGCTTCGAGTGTCATGGGGGGGTTGGCTCTTTTCTCCAGTAATCAGTGTTGATTGGTATGTGTTCCTTCTCTTCCTTTCTTTTTTACAAACAAGAGAGAGGTCTCAGAGCCTGTGTAGCATGGGGTACTGCTCGGTCTGGTGAAGTTGCTGTATATATAGGATTTGAAGTTCTATGCGAAAATTATTTCCTCCTTGTTAATCACCTAGGCTCTGTTTGGGAAGAGTTCAAATAGAGTGCAAATATAAATATGTAGAGTACATTCTGGTCCATGCAAATGCAAAGTTGGTTTAGTTTTGCATTGATAAATTTACTTTTTTGCCAAATGATTTTTAGTTGTAATGGGTGCAAACACAAACTCCTAGATTGGAATCTACCTTTTTTTACATTGACCAACTTTGAGTGCAAAGTTTGCATCCATTTTTTGGTTGCAAACTTTACTCTCATTTTCGATGCAAACATGCCACTTTCAGTACATAAATGTACTCTTACCAAACACCAACAAAACTGAACCAAAGTGCATATATGCACTGAACTGGCATTTGCACTCTTACCAAACAGAGCCCTAAGAGGTTTTCCTCTTGTTCTGCTTCAACAAACTGAAATCTTGTGCTTATTCAATTATGTAACAAGTTAAGGTTTCAACTTTCAAGGAAAGCTTCGTTAGAGGGACAAGAGAAACAAAAATGACAGCAGTGGTGGATCCTTGGCCTTGCTTTCTGCCAATAATCCTTTTAAGTGGAAGATATTGACCCTGGTGTGTCAATATTGGAGTTGGAGCTAATGATCCCTTCTCTGGTCTCCCCAGTTCCTTTTGCCTCTCCCCGGTTAAAAAAAAAAGAATCTTTGCAGATACTCTTCTCTGTTACACCCCTTCCTTTCATCCATATCAACTTCCTTTCACATGCTGATGGTAACCTCTAGTTCCTTATGTCCTTCCTCTCTTTCTTGGATTCTGTCTTGTTAATAAATTACTGTTTCTTCCGTTACATTGACCTCCGAGAGCTCCTGTTTTATTTGTTCTGTCTCTGCTTCTTTATTCGTTTTGTTTTTTTTAGTGGTGAATTGCACATTCTTTGCTCTGTCTCTTTAGCTTCTCATGTTCTGATTCTATAAATTTCCTCATTATGTCATTCTTCCTGTCCACTTTTGGCTTCTACTTACTATTTACTGTGGTGCTATCACTACAGCTGTGTTTCTATTTGCAAGTTTGTCAACTCTAAAATTGGTGGTATTCTATTTGGTGCATGTATAGTAGGATCAATTATCATCTATGTTGGACTATTAAAAGGAAAATGTAACAAAACCACTGAAACTTAAGCAGTCACTGCCTGTCTGCTGCGATGGGTCAATGCAAGTGTTGTTGGGTGGGCAATCTCTAAGCAGTTGTTAGTTGTTTTGTGTATTAAGTTTTTGTATGGATTTTGTGTATTAATTTTTGTAGCATATCTTTTGAGGATGGGAGGCAATCTCTGCAGAGTTGTCCACTAACTACAGGATATCTGCCTGTAAGATTGCAATTAAAATAAAGAAATTATCCCTGTAAGATATTTAATTCATCTCTGCATTACCCGTTTGACACTGACATTCAGGAAATGCGAATCCAGATGTTGTTATCAACTGTTGTGATTAAAGAATGCGTTTTCTAAATTCTATTAGAAATTACTGCACTTGATGGCAATTAAAAGATGTCTACCACAATGCTCCTTGGCTTATCTATCTATACTTTCCTTTTATCTTTGCGATCTCATGCTTTAGGAAAAAGGAGTGATCTTCAAGGTTTGAGAATGATATTTGTTGTGTTCTTGATCATAACAATCATGACCAGTGTTTTAAAAGGCATAGGAGGCGTATACCTGGAGGTGCGTCCCCAGGAGAGGTGCCCCCCAAAATGCCCTTAGGTGTTGATACCTCTGAGGCGTAAGCCTCATGTGCAAGAGGCGTATGATACGCCTTTATATGAGGCATGCTAGACGTGTATGCCTCATGCACCTCATGCATTAAGTATATATGTATAAGATATATGATGACATGTTATGATATGATGTGATTTTTCTTGTGCCAGTTAATAATGTTGAAGATTTCAACTCCAAAAACAGCAAAATCCAAACGAGTGCTTGAAAAGCGTGCTCCCAAGCTTGTAAGCTCTTATGGGTTACTTTATTTTTCAGTTTTTCTCAATCAGGAACTATCCATTATCTATCATATGGGCACTCGAACTGATTTTCTTTATGAATTCTGTCGTGCAGGTTGAGAATGGGAAGAAAACACTGATACTACAAGGAACCAAGACCAGCAATATATTAAATTCTGTTTTGACTGAAATTTATCATCTGAAGAGGGGCAGTGCGGTTAGGTTCACCCGTAAGAATGAGAATATCAGGCCCTTTGAGAGTGGCGGAGAAACTTCTTTGGAGTTCTTTTCACTTAAAACTGATTGCAGTCTCTTTGTGGTGAGCAGAGCAAACCTAGGGCCATTTATTTTTTGTTTTTTAATTTAACCCAGCTTTTTATTTTGTTGCTGGTGTTTGGATGATGATGGAATAAGTTAATAACTGGAAGTTGTCATGAATTTCCCTTGTATAATTTGAATGAAGTTTGTTGGGTAGTATGTTTGAGTGAGATAAATGAAAAACATGGTATTGTGGTGCAGGACAAGGAATAGTATCTCAAAACTGTAGGTAGACCAGCTTTGGATACTGAGTTGAATTGTAATTATATATCTCTTACTTGTTCCTACTACTAAAAAATAAAAGTAAGTGTCTCAACAAAAATGAATGCTACTGTCTGTAAAGATGCTTATTAATCAAATTCTGCCTGCAATAATTCTTTCCATGAGTTTGAAACTTTCTTGCTCACTCTATCATGTAGTTTTGACTCTTAAAGTTAGGGGTGCAACTTGGACAGGCCTAAGCTAACCTTGGACCAACCCTGCCCACAATTTGGGCTGGGCTTGGGGCCAAAACTCAGAGCTTTCCTATTTTTTGGGCTGGGCCCAGTCCTAGCCCTTGGGGAATGTATTGATTATACACATGTCATTGACTAACCTGAGCCTGGCCTGGGGCTGGGCCCAACCCAAGTATGCCAATGTTCAGTTTGGGCAGGGCCTGGGTTGGATAGGTTGGGTTTGACCTTGGCCTTGGTCTGGGGCTCAAGATTTAGTTCAATTCTTAGGTTTGGGCCTAGGTTCACCTTAAACCCGGCACAACCTGCATGACTTACTCCCCTTCTTAAAGTTTACAAGACAACTATGCTGAATATAATTTTAAAGGTATGCTTCTTTATTATTTCATAAAATATCGTTTTATATTTCTGCAAATTTCACAATGTATCCATCATGTCTATAACTTTTGCAATTTTTCCATATGACATTTCTGACATATTTCCTATATTTGGATAACTGATATTTTGACCAACACTGACATTTAAAACTTGGTTTTGATATATTTGTATTATTAGGTTTTCTCTTGTTCAATAGTTACTTATGGAACTTAGTAAAATTGTTTTTGTTTTCCAAAGACCTGATTGTTTCTCATTTGCTTTAGTGTTTCTGTTGTGCTCTATTTTTGTTCAATTGGTGTATAGTCCTTTGCTTGAATTTTTGAGTGGGCTTTGTTTTTATTTAATTCTTTGCTGATAACTTGGTAGGTCCCCATACAATATGTTTTTTTTCTGTGTTCATCTTAATAGCACTGTTGTGGATTAGATGAATGACTGTAAACTTACTCAAGGATGCTGTTTGCACATGTTATGTTGTAGGATTGTCACATTGGCTTTTCATGGTGGATTTTAGTTATGAGAATCTCTATTAATTTGATTACTTGCTGCTAGAAATTCATTTGTATAGTTTTCGTAGGGACTTTCCATCTCTTATCAATCAAATAAGGTGGATTTATTAGAAACAGCAACAGAAGATGCTAATGAGTTTTTCAGGTTCCGCTGGGGTGTGTTTTTGGAGGTGGAGATTATATTCCTATTTCAAGATTTCAGATTAGTCTTCATGGGCTTTACTGAGCCATGTTTAGGATGATTTATAAGCTGTATTGGTTTGAAAAGATGTATTATAGGCAGTCCATGGTGATTCTTACTTCCTTTCATGCCATCTGAGAGGTGCATGTTTTGTCTTCTAGAATTAACATCTTATTCCAGTTGACATCTATGTTTGCTAACTCTAACAGCTGATGAATTAGCAAGAAGCAGACTTACTAGGCTGAATTCATGTGTTAGGGATCATCCTTTTAAGTGTAGCCTCTCAAATCGAGTACTAGTGTTATGCCAGTATAATTTTTAGATGATGCCTTTTCTATTTGCCCTCCCATCTTGTTTCAAATCCTCTTGTCATTGGAATTTCTCAAAAAGACACAATTATGGGTTATTTTATTACATTTTGATGTTATTTTAGTTGTTTTTATTACTCTTGCAGGCCACCCTCAACTTATTTGATGCTTGTTAAACAAGCCACTAAGAGCCTAAGACTCCTTAAATCTCACCCTTTTAGAAACTCTAGGTAGTTGTTGTGTGTGTTTATGAAGTGTTGTTGTGCTTAAAGATCCAATAAGTATTCTTATTGTTTACCCCAAAGAAGCAATTGCAAGACTCTTACACATAATGATGACAATGGTAAAGAAATCAAAGATGTAATGGAGGGCTAAAACTGAAAAAGGTTAACTCTGCTCCTTTCTGGCTTAGTTTAATCATAAATGACTCTTCTCCTTTTTGGCTCGGTTTAGTTACAGTTAGCATAGTTAGCTCTGCTCCTCAAACTTCTTAGTTTGATAGAATTGGAACAATGTCCGGGTAACCCACCTGCAATTTGCCGATGATATCTTAATATTTTGTGAAGGGGGCGACAAGTGTGAAGTGAGGAATCTCAGAGCATTCCTACAACACTTTGAGAGTGTCTCCAATTTGAAGATAAACCTGGATAAGAGTTGTGTGGTAGGTGTTAATTTGAATGACAAGACTCTTCAATCTGTGGCAGATTGCTTAGGGTGTCCCATTTTTTCATGGCCCTTGCAGTATCTAGGTCTCCCTCTAGGGGCTAACCCAAATGAGAGTAGATTTTGGACCCCAATTTTGGAAAAGATTGAGAAAAGATTAGCTTCTTGGAAAAAGAACTACATCTCTATAGGGGGTAGAGTGACTTTATTGAGAGCTACTCTAGCAAACCTACCGGTCTATTTTTTCTTTATCTTTAGGATTCCTAATAGGGAGGCTAAGAAGTTGGAGAGGATAATGAGATCTCTTTTGTGGGAGCCTGGGAAGGAAAAGAAAAATCACCTAATCAATTGGGAAATAGTTTGTAGGAGTAAAGAGGAGGGTGGATTGGGTTTAGGAAGGTTAGCTCTAAAGAATAAAGCTCTCTTAGAAAAATGGTTGTGGAGGTGGCCTAGAGAAAGGGAGAGGTTGTGGCATGAAGTGAGAGCTAGTATACATGGCAGACGGGAAAATGGATGGGATGCGGGTGTATCACATCAAGCTACGTTGGCATCTCCTTGGAAAGCAATTCAGAGTATCCTCCCTCAGTTTCTCAATTTGGTCAGGTATGATGTCAATTCTGGTGACTTTGTTTTATTTTGGGAAGACACTTGGGTGGGTACTGTTGCCCTTAAGGACAGGTTCCTGTCTCTCTATTCTCTTTTCCTTTACAAGGAAAAAGCTCTCTCTCATTTTCACCCATCTCTTACTTCACCCTTTTCTTTGGCAGTAAGGTCCCAACTTACTTCACCCTCATATCAAGTATCTTTCTGAAAGATAGGTTCCCTCTATTTTTGCATTTTCAAGTCTGAAGAGGAGACCAATCTCTGATTTTTTTTTATTATTTTTTTTCTGCCTCTAATCCTAATGCTGCTCTCCCTGATCCTATTTGGAATTTGGAAGAAGGAATTCTTGATGGGGTGCTTTTTGTACCTAATAATGATGACATCCGTATTTGGTCTCCAAGTTCTTTTAGGATTTTTCCTTGTGTTTCTTTCATCAAATCCTTAACCTTGTCTCCTCTTGCTTTGGTTGGAACTAAGGAAGTTAGGTGTATTCCCATGCCCCCAAAGTTTAGTGCCTTATGTTGAGAAATATTTCATGGGAATGTTAATAATGTTTTGTTGCAAAGAAGGAAACCCAATTTGTGTTTATTGTCTAACTGGTGCAACTTGTGTGGGTTGAATGGTGAGACTGCATTTCACTTACTAATCTCCTGTCCATTTGCCTCTTGTATTTGGGAATAGTTCTTCTCTTTTTGGTTGTAGGTGGGCTTATTCTGTTAGTCTAGACAAGTTTGATCTGAATACTTTCAGTTTCAGGTGACCGAAAAGAGGGAGAATCATGTGGAGATGCACTGGGGGAGCTTTGATTTGGAATGTTACGGGAGAAACTCATTATTTTTGAGGATAAATGGAGTAAGGAAGCTATCATAGAAATAATAATGGTGAGGGTGGCACATTGGGTAAAAACTTTGGAGTTGTTTAAGATTTCTCAGTTGATGATATGTTTAACAATTGGGGAGCAATGATGGGACCATTGGCAAGGAAACAAGGAGTGGAAAAGAAGTGGCTGCCTCTGGAAGCTGGATTCTTTAAATTGAACTTTGATAGTAGCAGCTTTGGAAATCTAGGTCCATCTGGAATTGGGGGGGGGGTGATAAGGAATGAAAAAGGATAGATTATGTGCTATTCTTGAGACAAATTTGGGAAGGGGATTCTACAAAGGCAGAATTATTGGCCGTAGTTTGTGGGGTGTGTAGAAGGCTAGGGAGGTGGGGTGGGGAAACTTGTAATTGAAGGGAATTCAAAAATTGTAATTAGCTGGTTGTTGAAAATGGAAAAGATTTTGTGGAATGCAGGAATGGGATCAAGAAGTCCAAGCATTTCATGCAGGATATGCAATTGAAGGTTCGATGGTTGATGGGTCTGAAGATCAGCAAATAGTTTTGCGGACTATCTTGCAAAGCAAGGAGTAAATAGAGAGCACTTGTTTTGGGTCATGTTGTAAATATTGGGTGGGGAAATACTAAGACATTGTAAAGGGGTTTGGGATGTGTTGTATTGAATTTTATCTTGTTTTACTTCTTTGAATTTCTTTAATAAAGTTTTCTATTATTCATCAAAATGTAAATAAATATAGTCCTTGGAAGAAGAAATTTTCTCCATATTCTTGAACCAATGGACTGTTAGTAATTTTGGGCTATTTTAAATTTGATATTATAGTTTGTTGGTTTCTTAGGAATAGAGTTAGGCAATAATTTTCTAAAATTTTCCAAGAAATTAAAAGGAAAAGGAGATAGGGGTGGAGAGACTTGTAATTGAAGGGGAATTGAAAACTGTGATAAGCTGGGTGAACTAGGAGGGTCAGGAGATGTGGTGCTATAGAAATGAACTTAAGCGATTCAGATCTCATGTTTGGTGTATAAAAAGAGGCATCGTAATTGGAACTTTGAAAGTTGATTTGATGGAACAAACATTTATTTTGAAGTTACATGTGGGTAATCATGTATTTCTCTACTTTATATCTCTTTTGCTTTAAAAAGTGCATTATTCTTTTCTTTCACTTTCCTATTCAGATCTGAATCTCTCATAATTTAGATCATTAAATCTCCCCCCTCCTCTTTCTTTTTGATAAGTGAAATTTGATTAGAGCATTAAATAGAACAGTACATGCTTTCCAAGGGGAGGCACAAGATGTAACCTCCCACTTTAACAAAAAGAAAAATCAAGTTACAACTGAGCCCAAAACAAATGATTTCTGTTCACCCATTGCTTAGCTAAAGCATCTGTTGTCCCATTAGCCAACCTTCTCACCCAAACTATCCTTAGGTTCATGCCTCTAGTAAACCATTTGAATTTCATCTCCTCCCCAAAACAGCAAGTACTGATTCTGTCTCCTTTAATCGTCCTACCACCGATTTTAGTCCCCTTCAATTTTCACATTTACCAAGTTCAAATAATGTGCAATCTTTACTTGTAATGCAACAAGCAACTCATCCTTGATGGAGTTACCCTCACCCACTGGATCTGAGAATAGAGCTATAATATATCCAGATCAATCTCTCACACCCCTCCAATTCTAGTAGTGTGAGAATTGCCTTGGCTACTTCCATCAAAGTTCAATTTCACAAAGCCTGCATCAGGAGGCTTCCAAACTACCTCCACTCTTTCTTTTTTAGAAGATCTTCTTGCCACCTTTCTCCAATTTCTCCAAATGTCATCAAAGGAGAACTCTTATTCCCATCATGTAGGATTTTCTCCTTCCCATCTGATACTAGGGTTTCAGAGAAATTGGTTGTATTTGGATTTTCCACCCTCTTCTCCTTTCCCAATCAATGTGTTATATTTTATGTTCTCTCAGGAAAAAAAAAACAGTTGTATTTGGGTTCTGTCCCCCATGGGGACTGACTGCAATTTGGAATTAAAAAAGATAAATAGGGGGTAGACAAGTTAGTCTAGTCTACCAATGTGAGGTGCTTGGCACATTTATCAACTATGCTATCCAGATACCTGTATGTACTCTCTAGCATCAACACTTTTAAAATATGTAAGGTGGTATATTTTAACTAAATTTTACTTCAAAAATATTGAACATGTTAAAAATTTAATTAAATTTGGCAAGACGGTCTTGGGAAATGACATTTAACTTCAAAAACTAAATATAAACACATGATATAAACGTATTAAATTGAATATACTTGTGCCTGTATTCATGTCCAGAACTTTAGGAAATGGAGAGTTATATTGTTACGATTCATTAGTCCCATATCAGTAGTATGGGATGCCGTTGTGGGGTGTATATGTGTCTGGGTTCCCTCCCTCTAACAGCTAGCTTTTAGGGGTGAGTTCTCCTAAGGCACATAACAGATGGTATCAGAGCCTACACTATGCCTCCCAGTTGCAATCGTACGGCGCAGGTGGTGACGTCGGTATTGCAGTGTTCGACCGGGACTAGGGGGACTAGTGCAAAGCCATCTTGCTTGAGTGCCGAGATTGTGGAGCGTGGTGGAATGTTATGTTTCATTAGTCCCACATCGGTAGTATGGGATGCCATTGTGGGGTGTATATGTGTCTGGGTTCCTTCGCTCTAACAGCTAGCTTTTAGGGGTGAGTTCTCCCAAGGCACATAACATATATATCCCCATTTCCCATGTGTCCATGTTTGTATCCATTCCACTCTTTTATATTAATCAGTGATTTTTTTTTTGAAGAATAAAAGAAAAAATTTATTGATAAAATAAAAAGGATTACAACACTGACAGGGGTGTTAAGATAACACCATAAACCCACTACCAACAATAGCAAGGCTCACAATGACACAAGACTAACCTAAAGAAAGACTGAGAAATCCCTCACCCCCTTTTCATACATCGGAAAGTCTTCAGGATCAAATGACTCGTCCTGCCCGTCATCTTTCTCATCCCAAACTTTTTCTATTTTCCGTTGCAACATCTTCTTCAATTTCTCTTCCCTTTTACTCATTTCAATTTTTTCAAAAGCAGTTATAGCGAACTCTTTGCCTCCCCAAAAGAATATCCCTAAACTCTTACCAATTTTAACCTCCTTGTCCACCAAGGTCTTAATCTCCACTTTCTCTCCTTCCTTGTCAGCTTGTTGAGACAAAGTAAGGCTACTCTTACCAGCACCAGCTTGACCTCCCTCTTCTCATCCCCTGACCTTGGTCTAGTCTCTGGCCCTTCTTTTGTCAGGGTAGACTTTATCTCCCCTACGACAACTTGATGCTCCTCCCCTCTCCTTTCATCACCCTTTTTCTTTGCATTTAAGCCTTTTAATGTCTTCCTTCTGTACACTCTTATATTTGTTAGGACTTGCCCCAATAAAACCGTCTTTAGCCTTGAGAAAACCTTAGACACATGGACAAGGCTACACTTGCTTGTCTCTCTAGCTTCTTTCACTCCTTCTATAGGTCCTATGACACCTTCCTTGTTCACAACTCTTCTCTGCCCTAGATGTACTCCAATCCTACCAGCTGAAATTTCAAACTTTTGATAATCCTCGTAGTCCAAAGATGAGTATGTTTTGTCATTCTTGTCCAAAGCCTCTCTTGCAACCTCGTTGCCGTGTTTGGTAGTTGTACTCTTAGCATCGTCCCCTCCATAGTCAGCCCTACCTAACATTCTTTCCTTGTCCTTCCCTTCCCATCTACTAACTCCTTTGCTACTTCCTCAGAAACCACCTCCCTTCCTTCCTTCCTTCCTTCCTTCCTTCCTTCTGGCCTTCTGAACCTTCTGAACAAACAACCACTTGCTGATTAGGACTTGTCTTCTCCTTTTTCCTTTCATCGCAATGTTCTCTTAGATTAAGAGGTTCAGCGAATCTTCCACATCGGTCACTCTTTTGAAACACTTCACGAGCAGTCTCGGCTCTCAGACTCCAAAGCCTCTTCCCAGAGTTTTCGAATTGAAATGTGTGCCTAAAACATCTAAGATCGCTTGAAATTTATCTTGTTCGAAACCCATAATTTGAAACGGTGTTTCGTAGAGAACTCTCCAGCATTGTTGATGAACATTGTCTTCGAAGCTTGGTCCACAACCGAACGATAAATATTTTTGCTTCCTAAAATACCCTCGTCTTCAACCTCGTGCCCTTCCCCTTCGGTCTGATTATTCGTCTTCCCTCCATCGCCAGAACCCAACCTGGTCTTTTGGGTATCTTCTCTCCACAATTCAATATTTTCGATCCATCTTGTTGTGTAAGATCCTTCTATGACCAGTCTCAAGTCAAAAGATTCACCGACGAAACGGAGGGATAGGAAAATAGGAACAAGGTGGATCTCTTCAACTTCAATTAAGATGCGGGCAGCTGAAAGGTTTCTCCATGATATTGTTCTAGGGTAAGCGAATTTGAATCTTCCACATGCGTCTCCCACTATCTTAAAAGTCTGGAAGCTGCATGCGTGCAAGGGTATCCCGAAAACAGTAATCCAGACCATATTCAGAGGACCCATATCCCTGATTGCTCCGACTAAAGGATTCCATCTCCCGATTCTGAGATCAGGTTCGCGAAACTTTCTGTTCACTCGTCAGGATGTTGCTTGCCTCCTCGCTCTTGAAGATGAACAAGAAGAAACCAGCATTTAGCTTCCTCATGTTAAAAGGTTTCTCAGGTCGCCATTCAGCAGCAGCCCACTCTTCGATCTTCTCCACATCTGGGTCGGAATTTACGAAACAACCAGCCAAACTATGACTCAGCAGCCTGAATCAATCTGTAACTTCTTTATCCAGATTCGGCGTCACTACCTACCACATCTTCTATCTCATAGTTGCTTTTATTATTAATCAAGAAGATGTATATGTCTCAAAATATTACTTATAGGCCCTTCTATTTACACCCAAACCCATGAGAAAAGCTGGCTTACCTCATTAGGTACAACTTGGATCATGAGAAAAGCTGGCTTACCTTATCTACACCAAGTCTTCGTCTCCTTTCTACTCTCCAGGATTTTTCCTCAATGAAAGAAAGCATTTTTCATGTTTGAATATTCTGGACTTGTAGCCCTCCATAAGGTATAGGAAAAGGTGAATTATCAATTATGCCCGACTTTATACTTTATTGCCCAAGCTACAAATAAAAAGGGGTCATTATTCAACGTTAGTCCCAGCTATCTAGGTTCCTGGAAGGGGTGGACTGGACGAGATCGGCTTCAGTCAGTGCAAGGCCCGTTCGAACACTGTTTGAACAGCCTTGCACCGGGAACATCTCCATCTCCGTACTTCAGTGATTTATTTCATGGGGAGATATTCCCAATGCAAGGCTATAATGGCTGTTGGAACGGGTTCTACACTGACTGAATCCGATTTCGGACTGGACCTAACTTCAGCATCTTTTGCACAAAGAGGTCATTTACTTGGACTTACATTTTCAAACTTGTTAGCCAGAGACTACCATTGCACCAATCAATGGCCCTTTAGTGCCCAAACTACCTCATCATCATGATAGAGGTGTAACACTAGAATTAGCATCAGACCACTTAAATGGGTTGCTAGATAAAATTGAAATTGATAGGGTGCCATCCTTGTACTTGGAGATCATGCTCAAGGTTTATTTGTGAGTACCAAATGGTTAGATTTCACTTGTTGAGTTTTTACAGTGCCCAGTGGAGCAAGAGAAATGTTAAATATGGTTTTCATTCTTCTACTGATTTATTAATACAACTTCTGTTCATGGATACTATTATGACTTTTTTTTTTTTTTTCTTTCCATTCAGTTTGGTTCCCACTCAAAGAAACGCCCCAATAATCTAGTTATAGGGCGGACTTATGATCATCACATTTATGATCTTGTTGAGGTTGGAGTGGAGAATTTCAAAACCATGGACTCCTTTTCATATGACAAGAAAATAGCTCCCCATGTGGGGTCAAAACCTTTCTTTGCTTTTATTGGAGAAGGTTTTGAAAGCATAGAAGAGCTGAAACATTTGAAGGAAGTTTTGCTCGACTTATTCAGGGGAGAGGTACATAATATATTTCAAAATTTCTTTCTTCCTAACGATCAAGAAAGTACAAAACTGAATAAGTATGTTTCTGATTCATGCAGGTTGTAGAGAATTTAAACCTTGCTGGGGTAGACCGGGTATATGTTTGTACCGCTGTATCCTCAAATAGAGTGTTCTTCACACACTGTGCACTAAGGTTAAAAAGGTCAGGCACAATTGTTCCAAGGATGGAGCTGGTGGAAGTGGGCCCATCCATGGATTTAGTAATTCGGCGGCATCGTCTTCCCAACGACAGCCTAAGGAAAGAAGCCATGAAAACTGCTGCTGAAAAGCCTAAGAAAAAGGTTAATCACCAAGTCTTCTTTCTGAAATCCTCTACGCTTTGTGTTGGTTTGTGCGCATGCATGTGCAACCTTTTCTGTTGTACAGTGGAGCAGAGATGCTTAAGTGATGCGACTTGTTTTACCTTTTTCAGGAGAAAAATGTTAGCCGTGATGCAATACAAGGAAAAATTGGGAAGATATACATTCCAGATCAAAAGGTGGTTTTTGTCTTCTGTATCGTCATTTTTTTTTCCTTTTCGCATGTTTCATTCAATTAGTCATGGATGGAAGCTTGTCATAAATTTGATTCTCATTTTCATTTTATTTATTTATTTTGCTTGACATCTAGGTTGGTGGTATGTCACTATCAAATAAGGTTAAGGGGCTAAAAAGGGAACGCCGTGAGGCCAAGATGAAGAATGGTGCAGATGATCATAGATCAAAGAAGCAGAAGTCAGATTCTAATTAATTGTGATTTCACTTTGTTGCATCTTTAGGATATAGTTGTCACTCATTGCATGTTTCTGTTTGGTGAAATGAAGAATAATTTAGATAAACCATCTCCAAGAGCTGCAAAATTTCTGAAGTTAGTTTCAATTCATTTTATTCATGACTATCAGTCATTTTTAGTTTATTCTATTAATATTGTTCAATATTTGAAATCAATCCCAATCTTAATTAAATCTAATGGACAAGATTAGACTCAATGTATGATTATTAAAGACTCCGAAACCTTACTGAGTAGACACCTACAAAGGATAGGGAATTAGAAAACCAAATGCCACCATAAGTACTAGTTGGATTATCTAAGGTTCTCCCATCAGTAAATAATATATGTGAGATATTTAGGGAAAGGTTGACAGATGGATGTTCCAAAAGAGTTTGAGCTACGTCCAACAATAAGAGAATCAGTTGAAGAAGAGAGTGAGGAAAAGAGAGAATTAGTACATGAAGTGACCTGCTACGCAGACATTGTATGATTATTATTAAGGACTTTCTCATTTCTAGCATACCGATGAAAATAAAGCTAAAACAATCCAACCCAAAATACATGAATTCCATTGCAGGATGTTAAAGAAGAAATTAGATGAAAAAAGCATTGATACCTAGGACCTTGGAAGCTGCTCGAAAGATATATTCCACATTAAAGCAGGCAAAACAGCCTTAGAAAAAGGACAAAAGCAGAACATATGCTCAACTGATTCAACTTGTTGTTGACAAACAGCACAAAGAAAGTCCAATTACTCTTGTTTTTAGTAGGAACAAAGCCATTAAAGAATCTCCACAACAGAGGTTTAGAAGTTTAAAACAAGGTATCTTTAATTCCCAAACCAATTTGAAGCACTGTTTTTGAGTGGTATTAGGAGCAGAGAATAAAGGGCTTTGAATTTTTTATGTAGGCTTGTTTGAAGGAAAAATTTCCAGATTTGTGATGAAGCCATATCCACCTTAAAGAAGCATTATTCGGAAATATTGGAGTTTGAATTATCATGTTTCCTAATTCTGGGGGTTGAAAAATCTGATCAATTAACAAGGAATTCCATTGATGTTCTTGAAGTCTAAAATTTTCCGAGTGGATAAAGAACATTGCACGGGATTAGGAAGCTTTGTAAAAGAATGTGTTTGTCTAATCCAAGGTACAGCTGTAGTAATTTCCTGAGAATCAAGAGTACCAAATAACCAACTTCCTTGAAAACGACAAATTTGGGCCCAAAGTTTATTCTCCTCATTCAAAAATCGCCGGGCTAGTTTCTTTAAGGAGTGCCCTATCTACCACGTTAGTCACTCAGAAACCTAGACCCCCCTATTCAACATAGGTTGACACAGATGCTCCGAAGCACACCATCTATACTTCTAGTTGTTAGGAGAGGAGTGCTCCCAAGCAGACCATCTTAACGGGGAATAGCATCAAATTCATATAGTGGATAGGGGTGGACTGCAGTATACATTGTATAAGGACTTATTTTCTTGCTTGAGAAAGAGTTTTTCTCAAGAAAACCATGATGAGTAGTCAAGAAAACCATGATATCATGCAAAGAGAAGATGGGAGATTGAGGAGTCTTCCCTGAAATTTGGATACCTTTAATTAGGCCCTTTAATTTCACTTTTAATAACATCCTAGAGAAACCCTTTACGGAGAGGATAAATAGATAAGGTGAGATGGGGTCTTCTTGGCAGAACCCCTGAGACAGTTGAAACTTGAAAGAGACCTTCTGGAGATCCATTAATGAGAATAGAGAAGGCAATAATGGAGGTGCATTCCTTAAATAAGATAAAAAAATCCTGGGAAAATCTTAAAGCCCCAAGTACTACTAGAAGATGGTTCCAATCCATGGTCATAGGCTTTTGACGTCTCAAGTACTTGACACAAAAGTAGATTGAGAAGGAGCAATATACGCCATCGTCTGGTAAAGTACAAAGTCTAAAGGATAAAATCCTACAAAGAAGGAGCAATACACGTCTCAAGTACTTCTCCAAGATGTAGCATGGGCCAATCTTCCAATTTGTTAACTTGTGAGAACCATTGGCTGGGTAATGTTCTGGGGTTTGTACAAACCCAAAACAAGTCTCCAACCTCAAAACAACAATTTTCTTCACTTCTTGTCAGCTTGAGCCTTGTAATACTTGTTAGAGGCCTCAAGTCTTGACTTGACCACATATGTCTTTGTGACGCTCCGGATCTCATTGACCTTCACAATGGGTTTTGCTGGGATGGGTAAAATTGTGAATTCAAGAGGACCCAAAGTGTTGAATCCATACACAATCTAACATGAATTGAGATGAGTACAACTTACCATATTGTAGTAGTACAACTTACCAAGGGAAAGTGTTGATTAGTATTTCTACTATATAAAGAATGCCATTAAAAAATATACAACAAATTTTCTAAGAAAAATTTGAAAGGGTTGAATAATTTTGCCCTCCTGAAGGTGGTTAAGGCATTGGATAATCTAAAGGTCATGACTAACCATTCGTATAGGCTTTCTTTGGTCTTGAAGGTTGTTTTCCACTCATTGTTGGGCTTGATGTGAATTTGGTGATATTTGCTTTTGAGGTTGATCTTGCTAAACACAACAACCCAGTTGAGTTGGTCTAGAATTTCTTTCTACCAAAGTTTGGGAAAATGGTTCTTAACAGTGATCCTGTTAATGGCACGACTGTTCTCACACTTGTCAGCCTAAGATTTTAGAATTGAACCAAACAATGACCCCTACTTTGGAAACTGGTAAATAAGAAAACGAATTTTGAGAAGCATTTCAAAGTATTCAAATTTAGACACATGGCATTTTCCGAGAAGTTGTTAAAGTCTACAACCCACTGCCACCATTCAAACAAGTGGCCTTCTCATTTTCTATAAAGCTAGACATGTGGCATTTTCCGATAAGTTGCTGCTAAGGGTGGCAACGAGTTGAGCTTTTCACGAGCTGCTAGAGCTCAGCTCGCGAGCCGGCTTGATATATATGTATATATATGTATGTATATATATATGATATTTAATATATATAATATATATAAAAATATTATAATTATTAATTATTATAATTCTTAATTTTTTAAATATCAAATAAAAATATTTTTATATATGATTTTTTATTTTTATAAAATATTTTTCTCAAAATCGAGCTTGTGCTCAAGGTTTTAGCTCGAACCGAGCTCGAGCTCTCGAGCCTTGTAGAATAGTCTCAAGCTAAGCTCGAAGTTGGTAATATTCGGCTCGGCTCAACTTGAATCCACCCCTAGTTGTTGCTAAAGCCCACAACCCACTACCACCATTTTCAGTTCATTCCTAAAAAATGCAAAAAATGCAAAAGTGGTTATCCACAATCACTTCTACCTACATTCTATCAATCTCAGTTAATCATTAACCCTCTACGTATCATAACAAAAGAAAACTATCCATGTTCTAATAATTATTGAAAAGCTATTTTTTGAAATAAATATTTCTTAAAATTTTAATGATTATTTAAAATATTAATAAATATAAATTTAACATTATTGATTTCATAATGTAAATTTAACATTACTGATTCCCTGTACTTAGTACGGGGTCATTCACTAGTTGAAATGAAACAAATAGAGTGGCTGTAACTGATTTCAAGTTCTCATGGTATGTGTTATCATGCATATTGTTGCTTCTTTCAGATGCTGTACACAAAAATCTACAAAACAAATGCAGTTCTTTTGAAAAAACCAGGAGCTGTCAGAGAAGCAATAATCCTATATGGCCCTTTCTTGTTTTGATGGAACTGATGATTAAGCCATAGAAATCCAGAAAAAGACCTCTCAGAGGCTTTGTTCAAAAGAACCTAACTTATATTTCTTTGTCATCATGGTCTTTAGACTCCTGTTGACTGTCAAGAATTTAATTCTTGTAGAAGCAAAACTCTCTTCAAACCATTTCACCTGAACTTGGAGTCCAGCATCTCTCAGTGCATTCAGAGCAGACCGATACAGCTTCACATCCAAACCTGTCCCCTCTAATTTCATGTCTTGCAAAAGCTTCATCAGCTCATTAATCCTACTGCTCTTTGAGAAAACCCCAACCATTATACCTGCCAAGGCTCTGTCTAATTTGCCTCCATTGAACCTGAACTCCTGGTAAAGCTTTATACACGCCTCAAACTCTCCAGCTTTACTGTATGCAGTTATCAAACTGGTATAGCTAACCTTATCAGGCGCGACCTTCCTTCGCTTCATCTCCTTCCAAAGCTTCTCCACCTGCCTCAAGTTTTGGGCTCTCCCATGCATATCGATGAGTGAATTATAGATCCAAACATTTGGCTCACACCCTCTTTCCTTCATCTTAGCCACGAGCTTCATAGCATCCCTTAGCCTTCCAACTTTCCCATACATAGAGACCATGGTAGCATAAGCTACAATACACTTATCAAAACCCTTCTGCTCCATCTCAAAATATGTCATCTCAGCCTTAGTATGAAGCCCAATCCCACAATAGATACTTATGACAGAAGCATAGGTTACTTGACCAGGCTCGCAACCCTGTGAGACTAGATCTTCATAAACTCTTATTGCTACTTTAGGCCCTCTTTTCTTAGAGTAACCATTAACAACTGCACAGAAAATGCAATCTGAAACTCTAATTTTTGCTTGCTTCATTGCCTTAACAATGTCAAGAGTTTTATCCATTAGCCCTTCTTCCACATACATTAAAATAAGTTTTAGAAACAGAGCTGGGTCTTTCACCATTTGCTTCTCCCTGGCTTCCTCAAAGATCTCTTTAGCCATCTTGACCTCTCGAATGCTTGCAAAAGAACAAATCAGAGAGGAGTAGATTGAAGAATCCTCTGAAATTCCTTTCTTTGTCATATCTCTGAAATATTCAAGAGCTTCAAAAGCTCTCCCTGATTTCCCCAAAGAATCACATAAGATCCCATAAATCTGAGTGGAAAACGATGTTGGTTCTATAAGTTTCCGGCTTTCAAATTCACAGAACAGAGAAACAACTTTATCTGTGTCACTAATTTTCCTATAAGCTTCCATGATATGGCAGTAACAACTAGGGTCTGGCAAAATTCCTGCAGATTTCATCTGATTGTATAGTAAAATTGTGCTGCTATACATATGGAGCTTGTTGTAGCTTCTCATTGCTGAATCAAAGGCTGAAACAACAAGCTCTCCATTGGATTCAAAACTTTCAAGCAAGGCCTTAGCAGTCTTAAATTTTCTGGCTCTAATGCAACTACCCACCAATCTAGAACTTGTAATTCTATCAGGGAAAACGGAGAAAGCCTTAAAATCTTCGGAAATCAATGAAATAGAGCTCCATTTCTTTGATCTGAGCAAATACCTGATAAGAAGCTGTAACGTCGAAGACTCCGGTCTAAATTCCGGTTGAATTTTTGCCTTCTGGTAGTATTCAAAGGCAAGTGCTTCGGTTCGACGATCATTCAACAATCCGCGCAAGAAAACATTTGGGTTTTCAAGTTTTGGTCCCCGACATTGCTCTAAATCTGGGAATTTCTGCTGAGGTTCAATGGTCTTGACACTGGTGGAGTCGTCTTCCAACAGGGGTGAGGGACAGAAAGAACAGTTAATGTGAAAAAATGGTCGAGTTGAGCGGGAAACAGAGAGAAATGAGAGAATTTTTGAGGTTGAAAATGGAGTTCTCGAGTGGGTTTTCCTGTGAGAAGTGATGGTGGTCGGTGACCAGTCAGGAGAACTGGAAATCGCCATTGGACTGGTCAGAGAGAGAGAGAGAGAGAGAGTATATATACCTTATCTCCTTCTGGATTTTTCTGTGTCTGAGGATCATAATAGCCACTGAATTGGTGACATTTGGAAGAACCAGAGACAGGAGATTATAACGGTTTTTTTTTTTTTTTTCATTCTGTGGACGTAAAGCAGTTCTAATTTAGCTCATAAAAACGAAAAGCCTGACCGAAAAGGTGGAGAGCGAACCAAAATCTACTTAACCAAACGGACCGGTATATAATATACTAGTCGGGGAACCCGTGCAATTGCACGGGTTTTATTAGAAGATCGGCCAAGATTGTGGTAAGAGTGACACGATCCTTGTGATAGTCAAGTTGGCCACTATTCAAGTTGTAATATTTTTATTATATAATTTTAAAATTTTATTAATGTAATTTAAATGAATATTAAATTGATCAACGTCATTGTTTTCGGCCCAGGAACTATCCAATCAACCAGTTTCATTTCACCCTTAACCTGTTTCTTGACCAAAAGCTATTGACTTGATTAGCAATCCATTGGCTCCAACAGTTGAACTATCGATTCGTTTGACCTGAACAACAATTTTTGACTGTTATTTTATTTTTATATTTTTAAATTAGAACATATTGTTGAACTAGATGGTCAAATCATTGACCCAGAAATCTTTGATCAAAGTGGTTTCAGTATCAGGTTGGTTTTTATTCAATCCACCCGTAAACTTTTGTACAATTGTACATTTGGAATAATAACAGGTGGGCAAAATTCAAGGAGGATAATGAATCATAGGTGGAGGTATTAATAAAAATCCGGGGTTTTAACCGTTCTATCCACCCTTAGGGTGGAGCTAAGACTTTTAGGGGTGGACTGAATCTTGATTGTGGATTCATGCCAAATCCACGGGCAAGATGTAGTTTATAGGGACTACTAGTAGACTATGAGGTGGTTGTAATTTCAGATTTCTAAAGAGGTGGTGGGGCACAGTCAACTTATCCCTAAAAATCCCTTAGATTGGCTTAACTCTAAATTTCCCATATATTTTAATAGGTTAAAGTGACCAAATAGGATGTGTCCTCACAGAATGGACATTCAATCAAGAATTCACATCTACGCCCCACCATTAGGGATGGCAATTTTCTCCATTTCTCCGATTCCCGTGGGGATCTGCCTTGAATGGAGCAAGGATGGGGTTGATTTTCCCCCAGCGGGGATGGAGAAATTTTCATCCCCATTAGAGGGAACGGGGCAGGGACGGGGAGCACTCTCCACCCCACGGGGACCCCGATTCCCGCTTCGTGGGATCCCCACTAATATATATGTATATATGTATGCATACGCTATATATGTAAATATATAAACATACATCTATATATTAATATTTTAAAATATGGTTGAATATATTTAAATATTTTCTAATACGATTGTCAATGTTAATTATTTTATTTTTTTTTAAATAAAATAAAAAACAAAAATAAAATAATTAGCATTATAAAGAATCACAAGGAATAGGGATCCCTGCGGGGATGGGAATCCCATGGGGATAACCTTGTCCCTATTAGTGGGAACGGGGATGGGGAGAGGCTCCCCGTCCCCATCCCGCCCCGTTGCCATTCCTACCCACAACGCCCCACAGTACATTCCCGCCGTATATTAAGAGCACCATGACATTATCAGTTTTGATGCTATCATCGGAAGATGCTCCAATACACGGTGAGGATGTATTGTGGGGCGGGACTTTGTGGGCGGAGATGTAAACTCTTCAATCAATGGTTATTTAGTACTGTTGCTAAGATTTGCCACGTTGCCCTATTGCAAGACCAGACATGGCCTTGTGTTTAGAAAAATGTGCTCTGTCCCATTTTAGAGATATTTAAATGGGTCATAGGACCAACAGAGAACATGGATGGGTCGACCTAACCGATTTTCATTGTCTTTTTTCACCCCAACATTAAAATGGTCATTCATGATCATCCGTTTCAACCTCTTCCTTTGTTATTCTCCTTTACTTTGGCCTTACAATCCTTTTGGACCTCTTACATTTTCCCGTCTTTCTCTTATTTTTAACAAACCATTTTGCTCCTTATGATGCTTGATGGAGTACGATATGGATGCTCCAAGCTAGAAGATGATCTGGAACTTGGCTGCGTGGAGCTGGTTTGGTCTATAAAACAGTGAAGCTCAGAGATCCCAGGGTGGCTAACCCAACGAAGTCGCTTCGATGCTTAAGTTAGTATTGCGAGCTGAAAGTTGAATGATAAGTGTATTAGGGAGCAAATAATCGTGTGTACCTAGGCCTTGTAGGGCTTGATGCCCTTATATAGTTGAGCCGCCGTAGGTCTCACGAAACGGTTTCGAGATCTTCGGCCTGAGTAGATGAGATCCGTTTCCGCTTTAGTCGGAGAGTAACATGTCAGTTAATAAAGTCTATAGTCTCCGCCCGATCCGGGTGGGGAGAGGATAAGGCCAGCCGTTATGCGGTGTGATCCGGTGGGGAGCTTCTGGAGTTGATTACATGTCACTTCGGTTCTTGGGCCCCAAACTGGATTAGGTACCGAGGTGCCTCTATGCCGAGGTGACTTTATGACGAAGTGGCTCTGTGCCGAGGTGACTGAACACCCAAGCTCTAAAAATTGCTAACTAGGCTCCTTTTGCTGAATTGTCATCCTTCAGTCGGATAGTATCCACGCGACCTTTTCTTACTAGGTTGTGCCAAATCACCCCTCATCAATTGCCCCCTACTCCTCGTACCAAAGATTCTGACCCGGTGTGAGGAATTCATGATGAGCCCAGGTGGATTTGGCATGAAGTCTAGGTGATATGGAGGGTGGACCATTGGTCAAACCTGTTTGACCGCTTAGCTCAACCAGGAAGTGACCCAGATCACGCATTAGGTATGTGGGGACGTCAAGCCGATTATAGCCTCCACAAAAGTCAAAATGTGCGCTAAACTGATTCCAACATCGGGAAGCATGCAACCGGTTTTCCTAGGAGCCGTTGGATTGTGTGGATCTCGACCGTTGATTCCCGAATATACTGGTTATAAATAGGGGCTGAAGGGCCCATTTTCTTCACCACAAAACTGCGAATCCATAGTCCTTATGGTTGTGTTCAAGTATCCCAGCTCAGTGTTTGCTATTCTTGGGTCCGAGGTTGTCTTGCTCTTTTCTGTCTTCCTTCGGTGAGTTCGCCTTCCTTTGCTTTTGATTCCGTTGTCCTTTTTGTTAATATGTTTAGTCTTAGCTTAGATAGCCTTTTAGATGGAGCGGTGAGTCCACTGGGGCCGAGGTGGGGACCTCGACACAGATCGCAGAGCCTCATCCTGCCGTGGTGGGCACTTTGGCACAAGATGTGGGCACCAATCTGTCCAAGGCAGACTCACCTTGGCGAGAGTGAGAGGCCTTTGGTAGGTCGACCTCCACCTCACACCGAGGTCGCCTGCCGGACAGCTTCGGTCGGTCTACCATGACAACGGACAGGCTCCTATCTCTGGTAGCTCGATACAGACTTCCCAACAACCTTGTATACAGTATTCCCTTAGGCAACTTTCCTTGGGATCATGTTTATGATGAGATCGTGGACTTCAAGGAGAAGCTCATAGCCGGGCTGCATCTTCCGCTCCACGCTTTCATAATCAAAGTCATTAAGTTCTTTGATATTGCCATAGGCCAACTACATCTGAACTCCATTCGTAACATCATAGGTACCATTTCCCTTTTCCACGATTACAACTGACCTCTAGACCTTGACATCTTCTCTTCGATCTTTTCCATCAAAAAGAACTCATCCTATGTACTACCCGAGCATAGGCGAAGTTACTATATGTCTCCTCACCTCGGGTACAAGCTGTTGCACGAGCTCCCTAACAAGGTCTCGGCCTGAAAGAGATGCTACTTCATGGTCCGTAACACCGAGGGGTGGTCTTTCCCGACTCACTAGAGGGCAGCCATCTAGGACCCCGACGTCAGATTGGACCCGAAGACAAGGGTGGAGGTCCGATCTTGTGCGAAACTCGGCCTGAAGTTCATAAAATTCGTGAACGAGGAGAAGCTCATGCAAGCCGGTCTAAGTCCTCTTGGTAGGTTTCTAACTATTGCACCTTTTTCCTGTTTGTTTTACTTCAGTGTTGTATCTAACTTAGTTCATCACTTGTCGTAGTTGCCATGGATGACATCCCCACTGACGTGCTCTTCGGGAGCATGTAGAAGGGAAAGAAGAAGAGGGCCTCCAAGAAGGCCCACCTCCATACCGAGACCAACACCTCTAATGTTGCCACCTCTACCCCCAAACTCCCATCCATCCCCAAACAGCCTTCCATGATCGACTTGGTTAAGGAGGACCTAGGCAAGGCCACTCCACCCCGCGTACTCGAGGAAACCACATCTTTAGAGCCTTAGCCTGTACCAATGACCGCCACATCTTCGAGCAGCGATACTTTAGTTTAGAGTATTTTGACTTCGATGTATGGCCTTCTCAAGAGAAAGGATGTGGTGTTTGCCAAGGAGGTCGCTCGTTGGACTGACTTGCCGGTTGCTCAGCACGAGGCCCAAGCGGCTACACACTGTGTGGTGGTACATACTTAGCCTTTAGGTTACTTGATACTTAAATTTTTCTTCATACTTGTACTTATTTTCTTCTTTTGGCAGGTAAACTCCTCTATCCACACCTTGGTCTACCAGTTTGAGGTGAACTTAAAACGAGCTCTTGAAGCCGAGGAGTCCTCTCAAACTGCCCACTCTAAAATCAACTTAGCTCGCAGCGAGATTAGTCAGCTAAAAAATGATGCGTGAGCCAAGAAGGAGCTATTGACTCTGCTGATGATGGAGAAAAAGGAGCTCGAGGTGGAGAAGAAGCAACTTGAGGAGCGCAAGGTGGCTCTGAAAAGGGAAAACAAGAACCTCGAGGCTCTTATGAAGGAGCGGACTGAAATCCTACATCAGGCGATGGAGGAGGCAAAGATCAAGGCGGTTGAAGAGTATAATTCATTGGCAGAGCTTCGAGAGAGGTTAGTTAAGGCTGGGATAGCGGGCT